ACTGTCAGTGGTCTACTATTTAAATGTTTTTGTAGTGGTTGGTAATGGACATCCTTTTTCATATTTAGAACTTCCTTAATGATCTCTTCTAAGGCAGGTCTAGTGGTAGTGAATTCCCTAGGCATTTGCTTGTTTGAAAAGGATCTAATTCTCATTTACTTATGAAGCTTAGCTTGGCTAGATATGAAATTCCTGGTTAATATTTCTTTTAAGAATGCTAAATATAGGCCCCCAATCTCTTTTGGCTTGTAGGGTTTCTGATGAAAGGTCCACTGTTAGCCTAATAGGGTGCCCTTTGTAGGTGACCTGCCCTATCTCCCTAGCTGCCTTTAACATTTTTTCTTTCATTTTGACCTTGAAGAATCTGATGACTATGTCGTGGGGACATGGTATCTTGGGGATGGTCATCTTCTTGTATAGTATCTCATAGGGGCTCTCTCCATTTCCTGAATTTGAATGCTGTCCTCTCCAGTGAGGTTGGGGAAATTTTTGTGAATAATATCCTCAAACATACTTTCCAAGTTGCTTGCCTCCTCTCCCTCTCTTTCAAGAACACCAATGAGTGGCTGATCTGTTCTCTTTACATGATAATTCTTTACTGATTTTTCTTTATTTTCGTCTGAGTTATTTTTAAGAACTAGTCTTTGAGCTCTGAGACCCTTTCCTCAGCTTGCGTTTGTATTATGAAGTTCTTGAAATTAATTATTCAGCTCTATCAGATCAGTTTTATTCTTCCTTTAAATGACCATTTCATCTTTTATCTCCTGTATCATTTTGTTGTATCCTTTAGATTTCTTTGACTGGGTTTTGACTTTCTCTTGGATGATCTTTGTTTATCTTTATTCTGAATTCTAATTCTGTCATTTTGAACAGGTTAAGAACCATTTCTGGGATGCCAGTGTGGTCTCTGGAGGTAAGAAGACACTCTAGCTTTTTGAGTTGCCAGAGTTCTTGCATTGTTTCTTTCTTATCTTGTGGGCTGATGTTCCTTTAGTCTTTAAAGTTGTTGGATGGCTTATTGTTTTGTTCTTTGATGTCCTAGGGGAACATCTCATTTTGGTATAAGGTGAGTTCAGTTGCCTGGGTTCCTATCTAGAAGATTTTAAGAGGTCAAGAGTCAGTTTAGTACTCCTGTTCTGGATGCTCTAACTCTGCAGGACTGGTGTCAGGCCTCCACCTTTGTTCTCTGGCCCCTGAAGTCTAGGAACCTACTGTTTTGGAGGGGCTGAAGTATTCCCAGTCTGTTGGCCACAAAACTCTGATGAGTGGTGCAGGCTAAAGCACTTCATCAGGGCAGTGGCAGCAAGATCCATGCTCACTCACATGTGCCAGCAGCCATGGCAGTGCAGTGGTTTGTACATGCATCAGCTGGGGTGGGGTACCTGTGAGACTAGGGCTGCAAGGTTCCTGCATGCACTTGCCCTAGCAGTGGGATGCAGGCAGGGGCAGAAGTGCCAATAACAGGGCCTGCCCTGGTGCTGGCAGTGGTGGGAGCAGGAGGCTACCAGTCTTTGTGTGCATGAGTTTGCACAGGCAGCAATGGTAGCGTAGAGGGTCAGCAGAGTTGCCAGCATCCATGCATGCATTCACACCGGTGGTTGTGGTGGCACTGGGAAGGCAGGGCTGCTGTTGTCTGTGTGCTGGTTTGCAGCAGCTGCAGTGGTAGCACTGGGGTGGGGGCAGAGTTTCTGGTGTCTCTTCATGCATTTGTGCCAGTGATGGTGTTGTGGGGGTTGCAGGGCTGTGCACCCACTGACACTGGTGGCAGTGTTGGGAGTGGGGGTGGGGCCGCTGGTGTCCATGTACTCTCTCACACCAGAAATGGCAGCACTGAGGAGAGGTAGGGCCACACATTGCGCTTATGCCAGCAGCAGAAGTGGGATATATGCACACACATGAGCCATAGGAGGAGAAGAGGCAAGGTCCACCCACAGGTGTGCACTGGCAAAGTGGTAGTGGGGTGGCCATGGGCAAGTGCAGGCTGACAAAGTGGCATTGGGGAGACTCTGGTCGGGGGAGGTTGCAGGTGGGCTGATGCATGTCAATAGGGGCTGCCCTGCTGGAACTCTCCAGTGATCAGGTGACATCTGCCAGCACAGCAGCTATGATGAGATCCCCCAGGAAGCACCCTGGTTTGGCATCTGAGGCTGCACTGCCAGCTAGCGTGGCCAGGCTGGAGCCTCAGGAGAGGCCAGCAGACAGGGGACTACTCACACTGGACTGGCCCCACCTCATGGGTAAGACCACTGTCCTCTGTCTAGGTCTGACAGTCACCTTATGGCCAAGGTCTCCTAGAGGAGCATGGTAAGGCTTGGGGGCTTTGCATCCCTGGCCATGCTCCACTGCAAATGTTTCTGCACCAAACCCTCTGGGCTCTGCCCAGGATGGAGCCCTGTTCCTACTACCTCTCTAAGAAGTTCTTCCTGCCAGCCCAATTGTCCATGAGGGTTGTGAGGTTTCCTGCTGCCTGGATTATAAAGGCCCATGGCAGGAGCAGGCAGTCTGTTCAACCCCTTCCCCAGGAGCTGCTGCAGGCCAAGAACAAGTGTGGGTGCTTGGTAGCCCTGTGCAAGGTGTGCAGCTTGCTGACCCTTCAGCCCAGCATCTGCGTTCTCCCTCTGCCCACTCTTAATCTGGGGTTTTTAGGTATGGAATCATATTGTCAGCAAAGACAAAGAGTTTTACTTCTTTTCCTTTTGGGATGTGTTTCTCTTGCCTGATTCCTCTGACTAGGACTTCCAACTTCTATTTTTTAAATGTGATTTCTGCATACAAAAATCGTTTAAAAATTTTGACTGTTAAGTGTGAAAGTGTTAAATAGCAACTGTCACGAAATTAACAAAATTAAGATGTTTCAAGTTGTTTCAAATATTAAAAAATAGCTTTTCTTTTTTTTAGTTTTTGGTTGTGAGAGGACAAGTAACTTTTAATCTGATTCAGAACATGTCTTTGAAAGAAGAACTATTTTGGAACATAAAAATTTATGCCTCCATTTTATAAAACATAGTCTTTTTGCCTGATAATTGACATTTAAGTGGGGAGAAAAATCTCTAAGGCCCATTTCCTAACTATAACCTTTTTTTTCTTTCAGTTGCTGACACAACACTTTATGCTTAAGTTAAAGGTGACCATATGTTTTTAAAGCTATTAAAGCAGATTTCAATTTGCTAAATAAGCCATTGGAGAAGCCAATATTAAATGTAAAACTTTATTGAAATACTCAAGTACAATATCTAAGCTCAATGTAAAATCTTCAGCTGGCTTATAAATTACTATTTATAACAAAAAAAGTGCTACAATATAGTTGATAGTACTATATTTTATAAACAACATAGTTTCTACCATCACATCATTTAACTTGATGTCTGCTCACTATAATTATACATAAGCATGATTATAACACACATAAACATTGAGTTTTCCAGCATTAAGCAAAGTGAGATCAGACATAATAAAAAATTCCTATAAGTTTACCTTCAGTAGATTCATCTCATTTTCTTGTCATCATCAAAAGCAAAGTTAAGTGTTTTCAAGAATGTTAGATTATTACTATAATCCAAAAGAAACTCTATTCTTTTGCTATCTTCCCTTTTTACATAATTCTAGTTATGTTGGAATACATTTAAAAAAAAAACGAACAAAAAAGTAAAGCAAAATAATAAAATTTTTTCTCTAAAACAACTGAAGAAAATACAACATTCCTCTCAGGAACAGGGCCTTCCAGAGCAAAGATTATTGAGAAACCTGTAGCCCTAGGAAGAATTACTGGAGTCTCAATGGGCTTGAGGATAGGCAGGCACCACCAGGGAAGGGGGAGGCCTGGAGAACTTGACTAATGACCATCCTCACGTGTGGATTCTGATTAGCTGCCCCCACCACCTTCAAATTTGAGTCACTGCTTTAAAATGGTCCTCCCAGAATGAAACAGAAAGAGTTCTGCCAGCTGCCATACACAAATAAGAAGATGAATAAAATACATATGTATAATCCTTCCTTTGGCAGTAAAACAGCCAGGACTTGAATCAACAAGATCTGGAGGTTGTAATAACACCAAGAGAGAGAGCACACAGAATTGGGCTCTGGTTAAGGGTGGAGATCTGGCATCAGGCTGCCTGGGTGTGAGTTGCAGCTCAGTCAGTGCCTGGCTGGGCCAGTTAAATTACTTAATCTTTCTCTGCTCTGATATCCTCCAGCATAAAATGAGGATAATAAGAATACCTAACTGCATGTTGTCAGGATGAAAAAAGAGGAGCACAGAGGGCCCTTCGAGTTATGTGTGGCTCTCAGTAAATGTTAACTCCTATGATTATTATGATGTCTGTAGCATTCAGTAACTGCAATATGGGCAAATCTCTCCAGTTACGGGTGCAAGTGGCCTCATCGTAAAATGGGCAACAGTTATCTTTTATTACATTGAATTGGTGGGAGATGGAAGCAGGATTGGGCCATCGAATCTCCTGAGGCCCATTTGAGTTCTGAGACATAGTTATTTAGCAGAGAAATCTTGCAATCAACGCTGAGGAAACTCTGCCACAGAACAAGCTGGAGAGGGCACACAGTGTGCCATCACTGGAACAAATGACTTGCAAGTAACCATTAAGGTTCCAAATATCATTACATTTCCAAATGTAGCCCAAAGTTATGTAGTATGAGACCAATGCTTTCCTCGTTATTAACACTTCTATTTGTCCCCAGTCCTGAATTAAAGGTGCATGGTAATTTATAGAGCCCTAGATCTACCGTGAATCCAGCAAAGTGAACCATTTTGGAAAAATGAAAGACAAGAGAGAAGACAGGCAGTATAAATAATACTACTGTTTGAGGTGAACGTCTGCCCACTCACTTCTCATTAGGCATCTAATCTAATTTTTTAAATGTTACCCCACCTCTGTTTAAATACTTTACTCTTAGATATTGGTACAACCAAAAGCTCTCAGGGAAGCCAGCCTAACTCCTAAGACTTACTTCTTTGGGTTAAATGCCAGGGGGGCTAAACATACCAGCTTCAAGTGTGGTGAAGTTCTGACCACTCCACTGACTCCATTTCCGGAAGTGGCTGGCATCAGCACAGCGTACTTGGGCCATATACTCTGTGGCAGGTTCCAGTTCACTTAAGAAGTACTCACCATTCACCTTGATGGAAACATTGTACTGCTTGATCAAAAAAGAGAAGAAAGAAAAGAACAAGACAGAAGCATTGATGAGTGTATGCTGTTACGAAGACGAACCAGGACATAGCATATCCTGATCTGGAGTAAGATCAGTTCATCTTTGAGGCAAAAAAAAAAAATCTCCAAGGCCTATTTCCTAGCTGTAAAAGTCTATAATTAATTTCATGGACTTTTTAAAACAGATGACCCACACCATTTGAACCTACACAGAAATAAGAGTTTAAAGTGATTTTATTCACTGGTGTCTCTGTTCAGGACAAAAAGGAATTTTTGAAAACAGAAAATTAAGCAGGTCCTTACTTGCATCATTTTTCCTTCACCATAGAGTTCAATCTGACACAAATATGTGAAATCCTTCTTCATGGAGTGCACCTTCCAGGTCATTTTGGCATTTGTGGCATTTACATTTTCAAAGTTGACACTAAAAGGATTCATTGGATAAACTGTCAAAAAAAAAAAAAAAAGAAAGAAAGAAAAAGAAAAAAAAATTCAAGCATAGATCCAAAAAGACATTTGTAATAGGCAATTTATTTCTTCATTTGTTCAACAAGTATTTTTTGTTTACTTTTGAGAACATGACAAACAAGAACTTACAGACAAGATAGAATAAGCCAAGCACAGCCTTGCTCACTCAATGATTCTACTACACACATTGAACAAAATACAAAAAGAAACTACCTGAGACTCCTACAATTAAACACAAGTAGGCAAACCATGAAGGGGAGTCAAAACTTCAAGAAGGTGGTTCATGGAGAGAATTGTAACAGAACTCAGAGTCTAACCCAAATAACATTAACAATGTCAAGGATATAATCCAAAATATGCAGAATGTGCTAGGAATGGAACATCTTTAGCTGAAAGGGGACTGGCCAGAACAGCCCAGGCTCTGTTCCATCCATCTGTCCTTTAATGCTTTAGCACAATGAGTCATGTGTTGTCAGGATATAAAATCCAGGATGGGTGCTTCTGAGGTCTCTCAGCTGTTGTACAAGTGAAGAACTCAGAGATAAGATTCTGTTTGCCCTAGACAGCACTCTGCAGCCTTGGGGACCAGCCAGCAATAAATCCGAGACTTGTGTTGTCCCCTTCTGCCTATCTGATAGTAATAAATCCACTTCATGTAACTTGTTGTGTATGAGCACATTCTGTATCACTGGACTCGGACAGTTGATAACCAGTGCACAGAGACAGCGTGCTTCACAAAATTGGCACAGCAAGCAGGATTCAATCTGACAGAACAATGGCTCACTGGTAAAGTAGACGGGGCAATGCCCTATCTCATACCTGGCCTGTGGTGGAGACATCCGACTAGCTAGGTGTTTTATGGGGAAGAAGCAGTGATAAGAGAAACACAGGTCACACATACACCCTGAGAATGTGGGTGAGCTGGTACATGGATTGCAGCAGGAAAGAAGTGTGGAAACAGGGGAGTTTAGTGCACATATGTGATTGCTCCTTCCTGGGTATTCAGATGCATCTGGAGGCATCTGAGAGGGAATTAAAAAGAGGTCCTCTGATGGTCCTTGAGACATCTGAGAGGGAACCAGCATGCACAAAGCAAGTCTTCACAGAGAAGGAGACTCAAGATCCAAAGGACACACATGGACACAAGCAGTAAACTCTCAAGCAACCTGGCTGGTGTGTTTGTTGGATAAAGGGACACTACAGACCCAAATGGTGCAGTTAGGGTTGGGCCCAAAGTCTCTAGATGGCTACCAAAGGTCACTGGCCTAATACTCTTCTCAAGAGAAAACAGAAAAAGAAGAAAATGCAGACTTTTCTGGGCTTCTTGGATATTGGAACCCACATGACAATATTTCCTGGTTCTTTTAGGTAAAAAATTAAACTGATGATATTGGGAGGTTTTCAGACAAACATAGTGACCCAAGATGCTTATCTGGTTGCGGGCGGGGCCCATTGGGCCATTTTAGGTGCGAGTAACCATGTTTCCTATCACTCAGGGCACCATCGGCAATTGGCATTTTGGCTGTTTAGGGACCAGAAGACCACCTCCATCTGAAAGGGTATGTTCTCCCAACACAGCTAAGGATTTGAGCCATAACAGTGGGGCATATCCACTTCTGCCTGCTACCTAAGCTCCTCAAGTTCCAATGGCTTATTCAACAAATGTAGTACTGTTATACATACTGTATGGAGAATAGGACATTACTTTGTTAATTGAGGACTTAATACAGATATAAATGTTATAAACCACCCTCTCACAATATTTGGCCAGTCACAAAAGGCCCATCAGGGCATGGAGACTAACGATGGACTATTGCAAACTAAATGCCAAGGCCACTTAAGCTGAACACCAAAGAAGTATCCCAGATATAGCCAAACAAGTGATGCCCCTTGTGGCATCCTCTAATAAAAATGAGGCCAGCAGCTGGTAGGCCTCTTTGAGTCCTGGAGACCACATGTACCCAACCTAGATGTCCTTTTGCTCTCCTTAGTCAAGGTTACGGCAAACCCACCAATTTTAAATGAGGTTCTTTGTGGCAACAGGCCTTGGAAGCCACTCAGCAAGTTGTGGTCCAGGTACTGCTTTTAGAATCCTTAGAGCCTGCTAGCTCAATAAAATTACAGACATCCAACACCTCATGCATGCTGATAGTAGTCTCTGGGAAGAAAAAATCTGCCACCGGGATGTACCAGCCTCTCACATTTTGGACACATAAGTTGCTTAGGCAGACCCCAGACTGCTTTTAAACAGCAACTCCTTGCTTGCTACTAGGAACTAGTCGCTGGACACTGAGCATCCTATGGCCAGAGCACCAAACATGACACTACAACATGAAATGCCCATCCATACTTGTGTGCCTGCAAACTTCACCAATCAAATTAGGCTCAACAGAGCTCAATTATTAAATGAAACTGGCACATTTAAGATCATGTCCAGCCAGGCCCCATGGGACCAGTAGGTTTCATGAACAAATGGCTAGCTAATTAAAAGTGACCAAGTAACCTGCTGAGGATGTTTTGGCTCCTCCTATGGATTCAAAAATATGCCTACCAATGCTTTGGCATGGTTTACTGATGGTTCTGACAAACTAAAAACAGATGGGGTTCATTGGGCTGCCACCTTACCATTTGGCCAACAGACAGCCAACTTTAGACTGAGACTGGATATGGAAATTCTATCCAAACTACATGCAGTGGCAATGGCCATGCCGGCCACCTTTCCACCATATCTTGCTATATTTTCACCAACTCACGGGCCATTGCCAATAGCCTAGCCATCTTGTCAGAAGAAAAACAACTGAGTGACTGGACTGATTAAGGAATCCCCTGTGTGGGACAAGAATTATGGCAAGAGCTTGCAGCATGAAAGTTGTCAGAATCAAAATGGAGTCATTTATGTTAAAAAGCAAAATCATGAAAAATGGAGCCAGATAAGGTCATGCAGGATGGGCTCTCTTATACGAATGTCTGATCACAAAACTATCATGAAACAACCTGTAAGGGCCGCAGACATGCACGAAGGTCAGTACAACCTTACACACACACATAAAATACTTCTACAAGGACACCTGTCCAGCAACTGGATTATCTAACCTAACACTGACACCACTTTTGTTATTGATACTTGTAGTCAAAAATTATTAACTGAAAACATCATGTAATCCTTCTCATTTTTTCTTTAAAAACTTTTGTCTTTGTTTATCTTCCTGAATATACACAATTTCTATGGTAAATGTATTCCCATTGCAATGTCTATTCCTGAATAAATATCATTTTCTTTTAGAGTCTCCCTCTCTGTTATTTAGATTGGCATAATGGTGTCTCAGAAGTGAGACTAAGATAGCTAAGGAGAAGGCTCCATCGACTGACCCACATGCAGGATCACCAAATTTAACAACTATATGAAAAAATCACCTTCATAAGACTGAAAAATCAAGTAGGCATTCATAGTACCTGTCTTTAATACTGTATCACTAAAAGATGCACTGAAAGGGGAAGAAAGATATTCCTGAATCACTGATGCCACCCCTTCCCCATTCACTGGCAGCAGCCCTGTGTCATGGACAGAGACTCTGTACACTTGGGAGACGGAGAAGAGGAGAACACAGTGACCGAGAGACTTTGCATGGAAGTCAGGGCTGCCCAGTCACTGGGAAAGTAGGCAAAAATGGGTTGAACTCAGCTGAGAGAGACTCTATTTGTTTGAAAATAAAGGAAGTGAACAAGAGTCTTCTGTAATTCAGAGAATTCTTCCGGATCTTATTCAAGACCACCAAGGAGGTACCTCTATGAGTCTATAAGAACCATAGTGTTACTGGGTTTGGGTTTCCCCTAATGAAGATAAGGTACAGATCACAACACTATATCTTTTTGATATGGATAATCTTTCTCAAGAAGGATGGGTACAAACAAGCCCAGACTGTGATGACTACAATAAATACTTAACTCTTCAAAGCTCAGACATTCATAAGCATCAAGACCATCCAGGAAAACATGACCTCACCAAACAAACTAAATAATTCACCCAGGGACAATCCTAGGGAAACAGAGATATGAGACCTTTCAGATAGGGAATTCAAAATAGTTGTTTTAAGGAAACTCAAAGAAATGTAGAAAAGCACAAAGAAGAAATTCAGAATTCTGTAAGATAAATTTAAAAAGATATTAAAATAATTTTTTTAAACCAAGCAGAAATTCTGGAGTTGAAAAATGCAATTGACATACCAAAGAATGCATCAGAGTCACTTAATAGCAGAGCTGATCATGCAGAAGAAATAATTAGTGAACTTGAAGATAGGCTATTTGAAAATGTTATCGGAAGAGACAAGAGAAAAAAGAATAAGAGTTATTGGCCTTAAAGATGAGGTAGAGAATGAGACAGTGGTAGAAACTCTATTCAAAGGGATTATAACTGAGAACTTTCCATACCTTAAGAAAGATACAAATACCCAAGTCCAAGAAGGTTATATAATACCAAGTAAATTTAACCCAAAGAAGAAGTCAATCTCGAGGCATTTAATAATCAAACTCCCAAAGGTCGAGGATAAAGAAAGTATCCTAAGAGCAACAAGACAAAAGAAACCATATATAAAGCATAAAGATATATAAACAAAATATATATATGGAAGAAAACTTTTCAGTGGAAACCTTACAGGCCAGGAGAGAGTGGCATAACATGAAGGAGAAATATAAACTCCCAGACAAACAAAAGCTGAAGGATTTCATCAATACGAGACCTGTCCTACAAGAAATGCTAAAGGGAGTTCTTCAATCAGGAAAAAAAATAGGATGTTATTGAGCAATAAGAAATCATCTGAAGGTACAAAACTCACTGGTAACAGTAAGTACACACACACACAGAGCAAACCCCACAGAATATGGTAACACTGTAACTGTGGTGTGTAAACTACTCTTATCTGAAGTAGAAAGACTAAATGATAAACCAATAAAAAATAATAACAACTTTTCAAGACATAGA